CATGGAAAAGCAGTTATTTATTTATACCTAGGGAACTAGGAATAATACACCTGCTTCGTAGGGATGGCTGGCATAAAGCTGGCATTGCATAGTGGTACTTAATAATTTTTTTACCACACTTTATAGGCTCTTTCCTGCAATTAATGCTAAATAAAATCAACATTTCTCCAACTTGCATTTCTGGCTCTCATTAACTCCCTTCATGCCATTCACCATCTCTTTCCCTCCTGATATCTTTAATTCTTTTGTGTTTTTCTTCTAAATGTTTCTTCACTTCTTCATTGTGTCTGTATTCTTACCTGTTTGCCTCATTTTTTTTTTTCTCTCTGACACTCCTGAGCATTCCACCTGTGAGCAGAGATCCAGGAGCACCAGACAGGACTGGGCATCCCTGGATGCAGCACCCCAGGTTGGGCTGGATGCAATGGAGAGGTGGGGAGATCATGCAGCACCCTGGGATAAGGCTGCTCTGAGCTTTTGCAAGGGCTGTGGTATTTCATCCAGCAGCTATGTGAAGGGCTGAGTGCATTGCCACAATATGTCTGGCAGCAGAGTCCTGCCCAGGACCTGCTTCCTTGCTGTGAGTCTGCTCATTGCCTCCACACATCCATATCAGAGGTGGGAGCAGTTAGTTATTGTATGTCTCTGGAATCTGACTAATCTCAACTTCAACATAATAATTTAATATTCCCTTGCATCTAACATTTTCTTACCTCCCACATTGCCTGATTAAAGGGTTAGAGATTTGCCTCAAATAATATTATCTTATTGGTTTTCAACTCTGTGCTTTAACCTTTCCAGGTGTTCCTGTTAGAGATCGTGGAGCAGACAAATGCAGCAAGCTCTTGTCAGAAAACAGGAACCTGTGATGGTCAGCCCTTGATTGGAAGGGGATCCCTCAGTGCTGGATCTGGAATGTAAGTAGTTGCAGTGGCCTGAGTCTGTCATTACTGGAAGTCCTCTTCCTATCTCTGTTGTTTAGTGTGAGTCAGTCTGTCTTTGCTGCTGTCCTCTTGTCTGTCCAACCTGAGAGTTACTGCTAGCTACATGAAATGCTTTTCATGCATCCCTGATGTCTTCAAGAGGCTGTAGTTCTCGTTTGTCAAGATGAAGCAAAAGATCTAACTTTGGCATTGTTCTTTAATAGTTGTCTTGCTTGGACTCTGAGTTTCTCCATCTTCAAAATAAGGCTGACACTAATTGCCTATTTGCAATGTATTTCCAGACGCGTGGCTGTAAAGTGCTGTATGAAAAAAACAGGCATTGTTATTATGAAACTTTCAGGAAAAAAAAAATTAATAGATTCATATAACTCCACAGTCATTAAAACAAACCGTATGTGGATGGAAGAGACCAGAGCTGAATAAACCTTGAGCAAACACAGCCTTTCACAATGAAACACAAACTGGTTTTAATCAGTGGTACCAAATAAGTTTTGTTTTCCAAGGTTTCATTTTCCACCATCTCCCTCCTTCTGTATTATCAACTGCAGAAGGTGATCACTGCCTGACTTCTGCTCTTAATGAGTATCATTTTTAAACAACAACAACGTGCTCTGCTTGGGCTGGCCAGGTCTCAAGTTGCCTTCAGCTCCGCTAGGATCTCAGCTGCCCTGTGTGAGTACATCAATTTGTCCATGGATCTTAGACAAAACTGGGTCTAGGCTCCATCAGATGGGATAGAGGGCTGCTAACCACCATCCTGCATTTCCTTTCTCTAGGGAAGCCATGAAGCTCCTTCTGTTTTGCTTCAACCAAGGTTTTTCTTGTGCTTGTCTGGGAGGCAGAAATGGTTTTCTGCTGGAAGGGTGATGAGGTTACACAGACTGAGCTGAGCAGCCTGGAGGAGGAGCTGGTAGGAAATGGCCAAGGCACCTTCTTTCTGATGCTCCCTTTTTTTAGGGAAAGCTGTAATGCCTGCTTGCCAGTTGGTCTGTAGGCAATAAATTCAGTGAGATGTCTTGCAATAAGATATGTGGAGGGGGGGGGCTTGTGGGTGACACATGCATCAACCTTGTTCTTGTCTGGGAAGCCTCCAGTCTGTGCTGCTTGCCCTGGCTGGAACACATGAACACTTTCCTGGTGATGCCATCAGACCATCAGGGATGTGAACTAGAGTCAGGGATGATGTGCAGGTTGTTGGTAGCTGTAAGAGTGAAAGATTGTGTAAAAATGGCAGGTGTGTGTGTGTATATCTATTTGCAGTCTTGTCCCCTGCTAAGAAGTCTGGTTCCAGATCAGTAATGGTATTTTTTCCCCTCCCTCTTTGTAAGTTCATTGCGATGTAAGAATATTTTGTTCCCAACTAAGCTAAGTCCATCAGTCTGCATTTGTTGCTGGCAAAGGCTATGCACAGATGCATCTTAACTTTAAAGCAACTGCCAGCTTCTGGTGATGCTGAATTCTCCATTTTTTCAGCCCAGCTGGCCAACGTATATGTGCTAAAAGTGGTGATCTTAGGTTCAAACCTAGCCCAGCCTGAGGTTTGTAACAGTAGCACAGACATTTGCTGTCAACAAATACTCACAAACGGCGATGACAGTGCCCTAAGGCAATTTCCTTCTAATACTGCTTGAGATGATGAGTGACTCATACAAGCTTAGAAGCTTCTCTGGGTTCTTTGGCTGGGTGGGATGTCCTGCTGATGCTCTGAGGTTCTTGCATTTAGGCAGGACTTGGTGTCCTATGAGCCCAGAGGATGAGCAGTGGGTCATGGCTGAGCAAGAGACAAGGGAATGGCTGAGACAAAGATCTGTGCTGATGACACAGCAGTGGGATGAGTTCTAAATTCTGCGACAAAAACCATATTCACCATATTCCTCTCCTCTGAATTTGTGCTTTTTAAAAAAAATTTATATCACTTCTGTAGACAAAATCTGCCAAAAACAATATATCCTGGGGGATATATGGGAAAGGGAGTGAGGCAGGCAGTGAGGAGCAGTGTAACCAAGCCCCATACCCAGTGCTTGCCTGCAAGGAGATCCAGCAGCTCTTGAACCAGTGGCCAGCAGTGTCGCTTGCAGATACTTCTCCCTTTGAGCTCATGCATCAGCAGCATGTCACCAGGGATGGTTCCCTGTAGCAGATGGGCCGTCTGTCACTGACTGAATGTGTCAGCAATCAGTTTGCTATGTGCCCCATCCAATGTGACTCCAGTGTCGCTCACTGCCTTTACTCCTTCCATCCAACTCAGTGCTCCTGCACTGAGAACTCCTCAGAACCAGCCATGCCAGCCAACAAAAGCCATCTAAATGGCATGGAATGGCCTTCCAGTGTGCTAGATAATTAAGTCATAGAGTCATTAAGGTTGGAAAAGACCACTAAAATCATCTAGTCCAACTGTGCAACCATTATGCAACTCCCACTCTGCTGCTTGCAGCCCATTCCCATTTGCTTGCTGCAGCCCAGCAGCTTGTGGTCTTCTGCCATGAAATGTTACTGGGGGGAAAATACTCTGCTCTTTGCAAAATTAGTTTTGCCATCAATATATTCTGTTAAAAATATCGGTCTCTCCAAACTGAAAATATTTTGCTTTTTCCATTGCTGCAGCTTTCTCCAATTTTTCCGTGGTATAAATAGAAATGGGATGCTGATTTTTTTTTTTTTAATTTATTTTTTAACCTTGGATTCTTGTTTTGTGAAAAGACAAACATTTGCCAAGAGGTAAACACATCTGGCAAAACCTTCACTTGCTAAGAAGTCATCTGACTTGGAAGGATATTTCCCAGAGAATATGAGAACATATCAGATCAACTCTGCAAAGGATTGGCCTTCTTCACTCAGTAAGTGGCAGAAAGGAAACGATTGTTCCTGTTTAACACAGCTCCAAATCTGCAGCTTATAATATTCCCGTTGATCTCCTCTCTTTTTTATTTATTTAGCTTAGCATATTCAAATCCAATTTGTTTTTTTCCCTTTCATTCTCATGCTTGACTCCTTACTGTCTCATTGAGGTCAGCTTTGCAAAACTGTTCTTGTGCCATCTGACACCCAGAATGGTTGGAAAGGTGATCAGCACCAGTAATTTTCCACTTTCTGTCAGGCTCTATAATAAATAATTAAGAAAAATCATAAATAGCAGTAGCATTAGTTCACCTGAAGTAGCTGTAGTTTAAAGTTTGGTGTACGAAAGAGCTGTGGATTTTTTTTTTTCTTTCGATGATGCATCCTTAAGACTGTGTCTGTGTTATGCTTTTGCCATAATTAAATTATTGCTTATAAGAACTTTTGCTTGGTCAGAAAGAGAAAAAAAAAAACACAATTATAATAATTCCATTTCAGTGTTTTCCATAAGATCCTGGCCAACTTGGCCAATAACTGAGGCAAGGAACGGGGAAAAAAAAGGTATGTATTGTATACTCACTTAAAACTTGGCTACAAATGACCTTTTATTGTCTAATTTTTTTTTCCATGCCCAACTTGGCTACTGGAGACAAACTCAGTGCCAAGTTTCTATAGCACATTATTTTCCTATGTATGATGTGTTCAAAAACACTTTCAAAAGCTTACCTCCAAGTGTCCTACAAGGGTTTTGCATGGGTTTGGTGAGGTGGATGCTGGTGTTTCAAAGCTAGATACGTTTTGCCTGTGTTTTTCCCCCCCTTTCATCCCTTGTGTGGCCCAACGTGGAACACTCTCCAAATGGGCTGAGCTAGGAAATGAGGTGAAGGCAGTGTTGTGATGGTAATGTAAACCTCTCTTTGGAGTGGCCTCAGGCATCGTGTGGGCCCCTGCCTGGGGCACGGTGACACTGGTCAGGGGCATCCAGTCCCCACCTGGGTCATGGCAATGTGCCCTGTGCTGGGTCTGAGCACCTCAATGGCTTTAAAGATAAAATACAAGGGAGCGATGCTGAGTTTGAGCTTAAACTGGGCTCTTGAAGAGAGAAAACCAAAGCCCCCAACCAGCTGTGGTCATTCTGCCTCATCTGTAATGACCCATCCGTGACATAAGTAACACTTCAGTCATGATAAAAACAAGAACTATTTTTTATGTATTATTTGATTTCATTTCTGGTCTTTTTGAAGTCCCATGATGGTTGTTGGTTGTTTTTTTTGGTGGTGGTTCCAGTGCATCTGAATTACTACAGACAGAAAGACAGCTGCTTGAAAGCAGTAACGAGGGTGAGACTTCCATAGCTTTGATTTCCTAAATGTATTTTGTCTTCTGTAAGCTAGACAAAGGTAGAACTTTCAGAGATCCTGATCATGCAACTGCTTCTGCACATATTTAATTTTACAATCCACTGGCACAAACTGAAGACAACTACAGTACAGAGCCCCGATCTCTGGCTTTTGAGCATACATGAGAAATCCAGTTATGTAAGCAGAAATAAAAGTGCAGTTTGCTCTCTGCATTTTGGGACACCAAAGTTCTTCTACAGGCCTACCTGGAATGACTTGAGGGAAGAACCTCCATAGCTGAGTGGGGAACCCAGACCAATGAAATGTGAAAGAAGGTGACTAAGTTCATGATGGGTTCCTTTCTCTTTTCTGATCATTCTGTTTTCATATGCTGGTTCTTGCTCTCATGTAGATGGACTGACTCTTCATTTGCATGCTGGTACTGGGTTGCATATTTAACTCTGTGCTCAGCTGGGATTCATTTGGTATTTTAAATGTAGGTCAAAAAAGAGATGACTTGAAAGAAAAAAGAGGGAGTAGAAATGGGGAGAGGAAAGGTCGTGTGCAGTGTGCTGCACACAGATGGCTCCTTATGGCTAGGACATGTGGCAGAATCCAAGCTCAGCTGACAGTTTGTTTGTATGATGCAAAGCTCCTTCAGGGACTGCTGAGCCTCTGAAAGTATCTGGGTGCATTCTGCAGGATGTTCACGCTTTGCTGACCTTGCAGAAGCCTTGAATGAACTGCAATTTCTCATCTACTTTTGCAAAGTAGGAGGTTTAGTGCAATGCTGTGAGGGGATGGAGATATAACCAAACATTTTGCTGTTTGCCAGGTGCCTAAAACCTGACACCCCAGCTTGCCAAGGGGCATTTTGAGATCCCACCTCGCCTGGCATCGCAGCAGGGGCAACGAAACTCAACGGAAGATCCCTGTGGATCAGCTTGTACCTTTTTCCTGCTGAAAGGCTGTGCAGAAAGCAAGGATGAAGCAACTGCAAGATTTATGTTGGAACTGGTTCCCCATGGATCAGAATGTGAATAACACCTCCATCCCCTCCCAAACCTTCCAGACCTGACCTTTCACAATCACCATTTCCTGACCAGTGACTCCAAAGAAAATAGAGCTGCTAGTTGGTATTTAATGGAAATCTGCACAAAACTTGTCAAAATACACCACCATGGCTGTCAGATGCCTGGGACAAGACCTCTACAGTAGTTTCCAGAAACCCAGTGCAATTACTTACATTTTAAATTATCTTTAATTGTGGCGTGTGAGCTACAGAAACATTTCTTCCCCCCTCTGAAGCAAGACCTCACTATTAAGAGTCACCCCCTAATTGCAGCTCTAATGGGGAGCTGGGGCAGGTCAGCACCAGGGTTAGCACAGGGTGAAGTGAGAGCGGCCACAGAGCACTGGGAAGTGGAGATGACACAGCACAACACTCATGGAGGGGCAGCTTGGAGTGTCAGCTTCTTAGCACATTTAATTACCCCACCAGATGTTCTAATCCAGTCTTCCTGCCCATCCCCTGCCAGCAAATGTGACATTTTGTTGTGTTTCTGACTGTGGACTCATAGGATGGCTTGGATTGGGGATCATCCTTAAGGATCAGCCAATTGCCCTGGAGTTTGTCTAGAATAAACTCAGTGAGTTGCTTCTTGGGCTTTTCCCTTGCAGGAACTGAGCATCCTTTTGCTACCCAAGTGATTGCTCAGGTCTGAGTGTGGCTGCACACACGCTTGGTATGTGTAGGACTGAACTGAATCAGGCTGAACTCATGGATTGACATGGATATCACAGAGGGTGCAAGACTGATGAAAAATAGATGAGGTGGTGGTGCAAATCTGCTCAAGAGCTGAATGACAACTGTTAGCCTGGCAATGCTGAATTCAAGCAGTCCCTGTCAATAGTGTGAGAGATGCTGCACCAGATTTTCTGGGGCTGCTTGCAAATTGACCCAGTGTTCCTGTTGACACAAAACCTTGGAAGCGCATTGCTGAACACGCCTGATTTGCTCACAGATTGTGGTCAGATGTGAGCATGAAAGCAAATACTTGCCTATGTATCGAGGAGAGGGGAAAATAGTGACTTAACCATAGACACAAATGCATGACATTACCTTCCAGGATGGTAGATAGCAGATGTGCAGCACAGGGCATGAACCAACATGGGGAGGAGTTTCCTCAGTCAGTGAATGTGGACATGCAACATGTTGACTGCATGGAAAAATCTCCTTCTCTCTTCTTCTTTCCTTAAGAGGAAAAAGAAAACTCACAAATCAGAAGTCTCAAACTGTTCTTTGTTAAAGCACCACTTGAACGATTTGCTTAATTTTCACCACTTACTGCATTAATTGCTGCTTTTCTTCCCTTCAGCCCCATCCTGTTCCCCAGACAGAGAGCATTCGGACTTGTCCCAAGCACAGCTTCAGCCACACACCTGCAGGATGGAAACAGGCAGAGCAAACAATGAAACGAGGCTGTTTATAAAGCCTTCAACACGTCAGGCAGGGAGAAGAGCCCAAGTTTCCACGTCAAGGCCTAAACGGACCAGAATGACGCAAAACACATGGAAAATATGGAAAATGTGGAATAAGTAATAAAATTATAAATAAAACAAATACAATAAATTGGGAATGCAGTTTTACTCATAATGATTTGTGTTCCTAGTAACCCAAGACTCCCTTACCTTTGAAAATGAGCATGTTTTTCCAGCAGGGAGCAGAGTGCAGGTGATGGGGCTGCACAGGGCACTGGACCAACCAGAAGCAGAGGTGGGCAGCAGGGAACCAGGGCTGCAGTGTGTCCATGTGAGCCCTTCCTGTGACAATGACTTGCATCAGGATCTCAGGAAAGTCACGTAATCAGATGGTGGTTAGCATTAGTGCAGGAATTTTGGCCAGAAATGAATCTTGGCTTGTTCTGGGCTGAGAAATTTGTACTGGTGTTGTTACCCAGCTGCTGTTCTCTTGGGTTGCTTTGTCTCCTGTGCTTGTCTGGGTGTTGGTGACAGCAGTCAGCGTGCCCCTCAGTGAATGGGGTCTCCTGGTGATACCCAGCTCTGGTGGAACAAGGCTTCTGGGCAGTCCTTGCTATAACGCTGATTCTTGGGCTGTGGGATTGCACTGCTCTCATTAAACACTTTTAATGAGGCTCTCTGTGATGACTTTATGTTCTTTCAGCTCCACAAAGGAACGCTCAAAAGCTGACTCTGGAAGAAAACAAAAAAAGTAATAAAGTGTGGCCCGCTTTAACCACTGCTGCTGTCCTGTTGTCTGGTTAACAAGTGCTGGAGTTACAAAATAAATAGGCTTATCAGCCACATGAAACATCCCTTGTGGTCAGAACAGCTCAATTGTTCAAAGCTCCGTTGTTGCCCATGGCTAAGGGCACCTACAGGGAAAGCCAAGATAGAAGGAGTGATGGGGCTGGACACAGCTGCCTCCACCTCAATTAATTAGGCACAAATTTAGATATATTTCATTGAGAATGACTTTGGCAAAAATCAAGAATAAGGTTTAAATTCATGACTGGCAGCCTGAAGAACTTACATTCAAAGGGGCAGCAGAAGAGTGAAGCAACATGCCCAGAGTCCTTCTGAGAAGGAAAGCCTGCACATAAAGCAAGCTAGAGCCCTGTTGCAGACACCATGCCATGGTCCCAGATGATTAAATGCTGAATCGTCCCTTTGCTGTACTGTCAACACCTTGGAAAAATTTACTTTGATACCATTGTGATGAGTTGGTTTGCTGTGCTGGCACCAAAGAGTGCTATGAACAGCATATGAATTGCAGCTATTCTTCAAGGTAAAAGATTTGAGTCTCTATTTCCCACTGCCACTGGGACCAATACGGGTCTGACTGGCCACTATATGGTGAAAAAGTCCCTCAGTGTGCCAGTATTGAAAACTGTTTGTGCATTAGCTGGAGCCTTTGCCAGAGAAATAATATCATCCTCTTTGTTTATTATACTGAAACTTGATAAAAGAAAGCATCAGAGGGGGAAAAAAAAAAAAAAGAAATCCATCTGTGGTGTGAAATGAATGTTCTCGTCTGGACTCCAGGATGCAGCCGTGAGCACCAGCATCCTATGGCAGAACCACAGCACAGGGCTGCAGAGGGACCTCAGCCCCACAGTGCCAGTGGGGCAATCCCCTATGGGGCAATTCCCTTTGGGGCACTGCCTCTTGGAGCCCAACTGGCCATGCTGCACACTGGTTTTCCCAGCAAGACAGGCTCGGTTGTAAGTCCCACAGCATTTGAAATACTCCCACCACCTCCAGTGTTTTTCTGGAAAAGCGACCATGCATTGGCAGCTATTTCTGGCTCCAAGGTAGCATTGCAAATTAACACATTTTCTGTTGAGAAAAGACCCCGAACCAAGCAAAGCAACCTTCTCAAATGAGAAAAGCAGCTTGTGTGCGTTGTTAACAGGCTTGCAAAAGTTGATAGAACCACTTTACAAGAAGTATTAAAAAAATCAGAGCAAAGCAAAACCGAGAACAAACAAAAACCCCAAGCTCAACACAGCTCCTGCACAAGAACAGGATATAAAGCAACACACATGGCTGAAATACTAAGATTCCAAAAGTATCAAGCAGCAAAGGAGAGGAGGAAGCATAAGTTACTCTGTGGGGGCTTTGGGACAGTCCTCCCCATTTTATTTCACATTGGGAAGCATTAGCACAGAGGGCTTTTATGTTATGACAGGGATCTATACGTTAATGCAATAGAAATTGTAATAATGGCAATAACAACACTAACAGCAACAGAAACAAAGGCAAAAATTCAGCACAATGCGGCATATATGACTCAAGGAAACAGCCAGTGCCTGGGGATGCCCTTGTGCTGCTCTGGGGGCAGCAGCTACACCACCAGCAAGCAGCAGGACCCTGCCCAGTCCAGGACCCCAACTGCAACCCTGGTGGAGGCTCTCAGGGACCTCCACAGCACCAGTGGGAGCTGTGTAGTATTCTTGTGCTAGCCATCCCATCACTCACATTTACTCCTTTTGGCCCTGTTTGCTGCTTGAATAAACGTGCAGCTGCAGATGCTGAGCTCGAGCAGGAAGCTGAAGGATTTACATCCAGCTAGGGAGAGGTTTATAGCAGAGCAGAAGATCCTGCTGCTGGGGATGCATCCTCCTCCACTTCCTCCCTCCAACACTGTGGAGCTAACAATGCTAAAGTCACCAAGGAGCAAAAGATGCTATTGTTTTGACCCATTTCAGCCAAACCCCACCTAGGCCACATGCTGCAGGCATAGCCCATCTGGGGTGCCAATGCCAGCAGTGGGTCCAGGCTAAGCGTAATCCTATAATGCGATGTAAAGTACAGCAGTAATAGCAGAGTGGCACAACCCTAGGCTGCAGCAAACAAGAACAAGCCCAAATACAGCAGTTGTAGACACAGAAACAAGGAAAGAAAAACTGCTCACCTTTGAAAGGCCTTTGTTGTGTAGGAACCTCCAGTGAGATGCCCTCACCTCCACTGCCAACCCTTAAATGAGGGCTGGGAAGGGGTGGATCCTGGCTCCACCTCTTCTGATCACTCAGGTTCATTGCATGCACCTGAGCTGCCTTGGGTTGGCCCTGCCTTCCCACCAGGTGCTCCATCACTGCTTCAGGCTGTGGCTTAGCATTTCCACTACACTGAGGATGAGCACTGCTCCACATTTCATTCCCTGACATCTCTGCTCCATTAACTCAGACAGGCCCCAACACTGTGGCAATAAATACACATCTATGGGGGTGCTTGCCTGCTGCAGCAATGTGCTCTGAAGTACTTCTATTTGGCTGAACAAAGTGATTATGTACAACTTCTAAATTCAAAAAAGGTTAATTATGGCTGCATTTTTCTGTGCTTAATTTATAATGGACAGGGAGAGGCTATGCTTAGGCTCTTAGCACGAAGAACTGTCCCATTCCCAATCCTAACTGGTCCCTGGGATGAGGCAGAGCCCTCTCTGCAGTTCCACACTGATGCACTGCATTAAAAATAAAACACCCACCAAGCCCAGAGATCAGTAACAGAGCTCAGAAATCCACAACAGCAGCAACGCTCAGAGGCTGCCCTATGCCTGCTGTGCTGGATGCTGGATGTTCTCCCATTCCCCAGCCATCAGCCCTCACTCAAGCTGCCTTTATTTAAGTGGTTGGTGCTTTGCAGATTACTTCCAGGCCCCTCAAGGGTAGAAAGTCTTTTTACCTCCTCTGGCCCCAAGACCGTTCCAACAGCTGTAACTATTTCATTTTTAATTTACTTGATACAACTTGTCTCTGCTTAATCCATCAGGACAACGTTGAGGGTTCCTGACCCATAAATTCAGGGTGGGAGGGTAGGGGGGTGCTGGGGGAAAGGGAAAAAAAATAAAGAAGGGAAAGGATTTTGAAAAATTGTGTCTAGATTGCAGCCAAATGTGTTCTCCTAACTCACTGCAAAGTGCAGGGCTGGGACCTGGGGGTGAGGAGGGACCTCAGCTTTTATCACGGTGACACAAATACACCCCCAGCCTGAGATGTTTCATCAACTTAAACCTCTGAACATTTTCTGGAATAGATTTAATTCCCTTTTCCCTGCTAACCAATTCCTCTTATTTAACACAGACACTAAAGTGAAAAAAAAAGTACCTCACTGCATCCATATGCAAATATGCACAAATACATTTTACATCCTGAATTCCTGCAGGGAACACATCCCATCCTCCAGGTACCACTTCCTCCCCATTGCCAAATGCTCTCTGCTTTGTGTTGCAGATGGCACTGCTCTAAACCAATCAGCTGACATTGAGCTGATTAGCTATGGGTGGGCATGTGCTTTGATTACAGGAAGAACCCTGGGCAATGACGTGTGTTTTAAGGCCCACTTCTACATATGCGCATCATCACACATTGAGCAGGAGAGACAGAAAATAAGCCACAACGAACAAAATAATTACACTCTAAAATATTAATGCTTACACAGAATCATTGAGTCATTAAGGTTGGAAAAGGTCTCTAAGATCTCCAACCCCAACCCATCCCACCATGCCCATAACCACGTCCCTCAGTGCCACATCCCCACAGTTCTTCAACACCTCCAGGAATGGTGACTCCCATACTCCCTGGGCAGCTGTGCCAGCGCACAACTGCTTTTTCTGAGAAGAAATCTTTCCTAATAACCAACCTGAACCTCCCCTGGTGCAATATAAAGCCATCGCCTGCCATCCTATTGCTGGTACCCATGAGCAGAGACCAACCACCACCAACCTGAGAGTGTGCATAACCACATGGCCACGCCGTGATCACTCCCAAAACAAAGAACACACGCATTAAGAATGAGACTTAGCTTTGGAAATCTCACTTCTTTGCAGTTGCCCTTGTCCTCTAGCAGCTCCCCACGTGTGGACAGCAGCACCACAGAGATAGAGCTGATGCGAAGTGAGAACATTTCGAGTTGGAGAATTTTTCGGCCTCACAAAAGGCAAAAAAAAAAAAAAAACACCACCCAAAACCCTTCTCCAAAACCCCACGTCTCCATTTCTCACTTTGTTTCACTGCAGTCCGTGTAACAATGCCTCAGTTTATTGGGAAAGACAAGAGGGATTTTTTTCAGAATTACACGTAGATATAGAAACCATATAGGAAAGGTTCTAATTATAACTATTAAACTCAGAGAATAAAGGGATACAGTATTCCTGGCTCACTTGGTGGTTAGGAG